CACACACTGGCCCAGCTAACCAATCACCACACACTGGCCCAGCTAACCAATCACCACACACTGGCCCAGCTAACCAATCACCACACACTGGCCCAGCTAACCAATCACCACACACTGGCCCAGCTAACCAATCACCACACACTGGCCCAGCTAACCAATCACCACACACTGGCCCAGCTAACCAATCACAACACACACTGGCCCAGCAAACCAATCACAGCACATTTCGTATTTCAGAAGGCGGGCCTGCATTTGATACAGGAACTATTCGAGCCGTTCATGCCAGACTGGGGAGAGAGTTGTTGTAATAATATAAAATATGTGAAAAATAATGTGTTTTTCGAACAACCTTGTATGAGAGCCTGTTCAAGTACACCCCCAAAACAAAATCAAGACTTTGTAAAAGAGCATAATAGGAACCCTTTAACTAAAACTATTAAAAAGTTTTGGTAATCAAAGTAAAACTGAAATATAATATAATAAAATATAAATATTAGACAAAAAATGTTGTTACCTAAAATAAACTAAAATTGGTAACTGAAATCTAAAACTGATATAAAACTTAAACTGAAATAAAAATTAATTAAAAAATGTACAATAAAAACTATTTAGTAATATTTAAAAACACAAATAAATTAATTTTTTAAATGACAAAAGCACATAAAATTACAAAAAATGAACATTAAAATTAACACTAAAAATATAAACATAAAAGATAATTCAAAATATTAATAAAACTATAACAGTATATATACAATACTAAAATAACACTGGTATAAATGATATTACGGTGCCTTAGAAGGCAATCAAAATGCTCTGTTGAGTAACTGGTCAACTGGGCAGCGAGACAGCAAAATTGCCTTCAGTTTGCCTTCCACTGAAAGAACACTCTGGGCCCAGGTCTACCCATTTTAATTCAATTATCAAGCATAATGAATCATTAATCTCCTGCAACTGCCCACAGCTATAGGATGGTCCAGGGAGCATGATGGGAAAGTAAACCTCAGTACTGTCATTCAAAGGAATGAAGCACAACTATATACATACTGTAGAGTACTAGATGCTGTTGTGTGTTTCTGGTCTTGGAGGAAACAGCGCCATCGTTTGCATCCCTTTCGGCAAACATGTCCACAGTGACTTTAATTAAAAGTGCCTGCTTTAATTTGTGGTGTACAATAAACCGATTACAGCAGTAGTGATTTCATTCCTCAAACCACTGAACCTCTTAATCTGTCTTGTGAAAAAGAGCTTCACTGGAACACCATCACACGCTTTTTACTGGGCTACTTTAAACCCACATATTTTTCCCCACCTTTTCTCTCCATCTAAAACCGTTGAGGTCACCTTGAGTCTGTTTCTATTTGAAAGTCATACAGTTGTTTACAGGATTTTGTTTGGGAAGGATTTTTGCCATTTGGATGTTTAACTAGAGTCCCTGTACTTACTTTCCCTTGGTTTGTTTTGTTTTCTCTCCTTTGCTTTCTTCTCTCTCTCTCTCTCTCTCTCTCTCTCTCTCTTTATAACTTCCAGGACAATTTGTCCAGACATAAAACAATCCTAAAAGCAGGAATCTTTCTCTTCATCAATAATGTATTGTTCAATGCACATGAGCAGAGAGGAGAGGGTTTGCAGGACAGACGGCTCCTCTAGTCCTTTCTCCTCTCCAGTATAATAAAAACAGGTCTAGATCTTCAGATTAGATGCCATTTTTAATGCAACACAATCAAATAATGAAGCAGTGAGGGCATGTTTCAGGCTATGTGTGCTACACCACCAGATTATGATCAAAATATATGATCAATATATATATATATATATATATATATATATATATATATATATATATATATATATATATATATATATATATATA